CTACTTCGCTAAGAACTACATTCCACCATCAGATATGCAAAAGGAGTCCCAGATAGATACCCTGCAGGTTGAGGATGTGGATTCTTACCCTGACAGTGTGAAAAAAGAAATAAAACATCCTGTGAACAGTCTCTTAACTAAAGACTACATGGGAGAAACTGAAAAAACAGACTGGAACAAAGTAGATACTATTAACAGATACCAGGACAGGTATGAAAGACCAATGGATTACTATGAAAGTGGAACTCTGGGAATGAAATACTTGGGTGATGAATGTTATGATGAAAATGAAGATGACTTAGTTTCACATGTAGATGGCTCTGTAATATCTCGAAAGGAGTGGTATGTGTAACAGTAACATCCACTTTCATGTCTTGACTATATATAAAGTTCCTTCATTAGCTGATCACTTTCAGATTGTTTATACTTTTTCTTGAGGAATAAGCTTTTCCAAGTTGATTTTCAAGCTTTTTATATTCTAACTTGACAAATGAAATGTAAAAACCTCATTTAAGTGTACTGAAGCTGCTTTATGATTTTTTTTTCAATGCTGTACTACTGTCTTTCATAAAAATGAATTTTAATATAGTGCTCTATTTGGCATATAGCACAAGAAAAGAACAACCTGCTACGTTTAAAAAATGAAATTCTTATAAAAAGTTTGAATTGAAACAGCTGTGTTGTTATTGTAAATGTATGATAAAAATTACTTTGATAGAACTTTCATAACTATAGTTCTACTTAATGGCAACATGATAGTGATTCGGAATCAGCTGATCTAAGGCACATTTTGTTTACAGAAATGACTTATGATATGAAATAATCTGATGGCACAGTTTTTTCAAAGCTTTATTAGGTTTTCTGCACAGAATGTAATACCTCTACATTTTTGAGCCTTGCCATAATTAGATACTGTACCTTTTACAGATGACTTGTTGCACTGAACCTGCTGCAATGGACATTTCAATGAACAGAACTTGCAATGTAACAGGAACATTATATATATTTTTACACTGCATCTTATTTCCAAGCAATGGAATACAAGAATTCAAATCTTTTACTTAAATTTCCAGAACAATCCTTTTGTTAAGGTTTATTATATATTCTTTCAATCAAATGGTTTTCCTTAAATATTGTTCAGGAAAGACTTAAGTTTCCCTAACGATTCTACTGAATATTTGTTAAGCACAAACCTATAAATGCATTGAATCTCAGATGCAACTTCTATATTCAATGAAGGTGCATTTTAAGAAATAAACATTTGAGTTATCACAGAATTTGGTGGTGTTTCAAGAAATACATGGGCTATATAAAGAGTTCTTAAAGAGGAGGGGCCACTTTAAATGCAAGAGTAACTTTATGTATATGGTAAGCTGCAATTCTGGATATTTTGAAAAAGAATGAAAAGGCAACACAAACATAAAATATTGCTTAAGGAGAAAAATTCTTTCCTAATAGTGTATTTCCTGTGAGACATTTGGGGATATGTATGTTGTTTCAAAAGAAATGTTGTGGAAGCTTACTATTAACCTAACGCATTGAATAGGTGGGAGGAGCAAATATATATAACAAAAGGGATGTATGATCTCTGTTGAGAAAGAGTAACTCTGGTGTTTAAAAAATTCTATCAATAGATTTAGAATGTAATTCATTGTACAGAGGATAATGCAGTGCAACCAATAAGAATCGAATGGTTTTAAGCATATGTGCTTAGAAGCAAAATCCATTGAAATCAGTGGAATTTTTCTTTTCATTAATTATAAAACTGAAAAGGTGAGTGTGTTTAAAGAGGTTGAAGTAACTTTAACATATTAGTTGAATTTGACAGCATGAATATATGAAAAAATAGTGCTGCTTAGCAACTGTTTTCCAATATATACTTGGAGTATTATAAACACATTACAAAAAGATCCACAGTATTGTAGAGCTTTTCAGCAATTATAGTATCTATAAGGGTTTTGACAGTACACTGTGATTTGGTTGCTATGTCTTTAAAAATGTGACTGCAGTAGCTAAAATGTGACTACAGCTTAGTAGTTATTCATTAAACTGGTTTTCTACATATCTCTCTCACATTGATAATTCAAGTGTTAACATTTTATTTGAACAAAATCTCTTTATTCTGATTTTTCATCCAACTGAAGAGCTTGTTTCTAATCAAAGTTAGCCTATGGTCAGATGTTTAAGCTAACAATGGATTCTAAACTCTGGTTGGAGGAGGTAGTAATTTGGTTTTGGATTTTGTTTTGAGGGATTTTTTTCCTGGTTTGGATTTGAACATAGCTTGTGGTCCTAGGAACATCTCCATTGTAATATGCTCTGTATGCCCTCTAAATGCTGTTTTGTAACACAAAAATCTAAAAGTACCCAATATTCTCCATTTTTTATAATTTGTTAAATTTATCAAGAGTTTTACAGTTGAATATGAGCAGATTCATAGATTTACAGTGTTCAATGTTGCAGTGTTTCTTAATGTATGTTTGGTGTAAATAGAGAAAATTATTGTAAGTATGAACAGTTGTGTCAAATAAATCTTTTGTTAAATTAACTTCTTGAATGTAGGTCATATGCATAAACGATTAAAATGCATATAAAATAAAACATTCAGCAAGTGGAGTAGGTTGGGAAAATTATAGAATAATATAGGAAAATATTGTCAAGTATTTTGGCATAAATTAATATGGCAATTATGAAGAGGTTATGTATTAAACACTTTTGGAAACCACTTATATAGTTAAATTTTACATAATTTACACTAAGTTGCACAGAACATACGGTTTTTTTTAATAATGAGGTTAAAAAATCTTAGTACAAATATTTGTTGACTATTTTAATTGAAGAGGAAAATGTGTAAGAAAGTCAGCCATGGGTAAAATTTTAATAATCTGCAAGCACATAAAAAGAAAGCAAGTTCTGTAGTTGGGCTATACAGAGGGCTATACAGAAGACCAGACATTCCACCCAGAAGACATGAGCATAATAGCTTTTTCCCATTTGTATTGTCCAAGAATAATTGTTGAAATGTACTTTAGAAGTATCATGATAGAAAAATAGCCATTGTTAAATTTATCCTCTGTGAATTTATATAACGGCATTCTCATTTAGTTTCTCCCTGGATTTGAAACAAAAGTGGTAATGCAGAAAATATAGGAAGTGGGCTATTAATAAAACCTGCATGTTATCTGTTGTTGTTAATTGCGAAGTCATGTCCGACCCATCGCAACCCCATGGACAATGTTCCTCTAGGCCTTCCTGTCCTCTACCATCTTCTGGAGTCCATTTAAGTTCACGCCTACTGCTTCAGTGACTCCATCCAGCCACCTCATTCTCTGTCGTCCCCTTCTTCTATTGCCCTCAATCTTTCCCAGCATTATCTATGTTTTAGTAAATTGGTAACTTTTTCAGAATGCTTTATTAAGTTAGTCCCACTAGCAATTTCACTTTAAAGAACACACAAAACTGCCAGCTTATGTTCAATAGGATCTACAAAACATAAAAATTCATAGATGGAATTATATAATTTGTCAATTGAATCTTAATGAACAATCTGTAGTTATTTATTTCACATATTCCAGTTTCTCAAAAGTGCTGAACTTGAAGCTTGCACATAATTATCCTATTCAAATAGTTTTAAACCAGTGGTTCTCAACCTTTTTAATGCCACGACCCCAACCGGTCGTAAGTCGAGGACTAAGCCGTCGTAAGTCGAGGACTAAACCGGTCGTAAGTCGACTACCCAACCGGTCGTAAGTCGAGGACTTTCCCTGCCCGGGAGCGCCGCGCATGCGTGGTTCCGCCCCCTGCGCCGGCCGAGGCGTAGCTGGCAAGCGGCAGAGACGGAGCAGGCCGACCACCAGCTGGCCCAGCCCAAGGGAGGTAAGGCACCCACCGGAAAAGGGGGAAAAATGGCGGACAAAAAAAATGGTGGACAGCCTTGCTTGGCGACCCCCGTGAAATGGTCGATCAACCCCAAATGGGGTCCCGACCCACAGGTTGAGAACCACTGTTTTAAACAGTCTAATCTCTGTTCAGCATCTGTAGTAACATTGTCATTAGATGTTCATTTATCGGCTTGGGTAACTTAACTGAGGAAATCCATTGTGCATATGCTCATATAATTTGGGATGTTTTTGCAAGATCAAAGTATTCTTTAGAAATGTTGATATTGAAATTTGAAAGTACTAGATTACTGGAATGTTGCCTATATAATGCTTAATACAATATGCTATTTCAATAATCCAACATTAGAGCAAGTACTGAAATATTCTGAAGAATGATAGGAAAAAGATGATTTCAAAATTATGTGTGTTCATTTAATAAATATAAGGCTCTCTAATAAATTACTTAGGCTCTGATTTTCAAGTTTACCCATTTATATTTAAAAATATTGTTTTATCATTTACCTATTTAGATGCAATACTGTAAAGTTAATCCATACTTACAGTTAGTGCAGCACCAAACATTGTTACTAAAATGAATTACTGTACTATATATATTTATGGAAATAGCTTAATTTGTGAAAATCCATATCTATTATATGGATGGAGAAACACATACAATGATAGAAAATAGATAATTCAGTTACAATAACAATGATTTTGCTGGCAATGAACAAGAAAGGTTGGTTGGTTAAATAAGACTAGTGCCTCATATACTTTTTCAGATAATAATTTCTAAAATGTTTCAGTGTCACATATGCAGTACATATATTAAAATCCAAATCTTTTGCTAAGCTAAGATGTACTAGAAATTTATTAAGGCAATTTTCTCAATGTTTTGTAGGCCTGGCACTGGAAAAAAAATGCCATTTTTTTTATTTCCGATATTTAAATTGTTGACCTAAATACTTTTTTTCATACTACAAGGCTATTAATGCATATGCAACAAAAAGAACTGTAGATTCTGTGAAATGTTTTTAAAGGCAGAAAACTACATTTTATTTATATAATTTAAGAGAGATTAACCACATTGTTTGTAACAATTGGTGACTTACATTTCAGATGTGCCATATAAGCAGTCATCATCAGTAGCTGTAGCTGGGGCTGTAATAGGAGCAGTACTTGCTCTCTTTATTATTACCATCTTTATAATAGTATTACTGGCTCCTAGAAAAAAGCGATCATCTTATTTGGACAAAATGTAAGTTGTTTGTGGTATTTTGTTTGAAACTTTATTCAAGTTCTTGGTTTGTAAAAAGTATAAACTCTGTTTTGATATAAATACATGATTTTACTTTTATCCTGAATTCATATTGGGTTTGGTAGCCCAGCTACTAATTGCGCATTCTATGTAAAATTAGCCTTTTATATATCTTACAAAAAAGTTCAGAGAAATGGGGAGAAAAAAACCTACAGTGCTATGTGCATGTAATCTGTTATAAAAGTAAAGTTGTGACTAGCCATCAGAAATTAGACTGCTTGTAAAGTTATCCAGTTCAAGATTTCGCTGGAACGGCATACACTGTTAAAAACAGATTAAAAATAATTATCAAAAGATGAAACAACAAAGAAGTCTAGGCATGAATCCTTAATAAGCTTTTGCAGGCTTTTTTAATTGCAGAATGTTGTTTCCTTTTGTTAGCACTAATATTGACATTGATATTACTTGCCTGTATTAGATAAGAAATGGTTGGGCAATTAGTGATTTATTTCCAAAAATGTTTAATGGGTATAGTTCTTTGCACATAATCATTATTCTGATCCATAAAAAAAACTAATGAAAGAAACCTCACAAGATGAGAAATTCTTAGATGAGTATAAAGGGCAGAATTACAACAATCTCCTTTTTTACGGCATATTGCCATTGTATGGAACAAGAAAAGTACAGTGACGATGGAAGAGGTGAGTGAGTATTGCTTTACTGGTTTAGGGAAAATTTCAACCAAGTGGTTATATCATTCCAAGATATTATTAAATGAAGTGAGGCAGTTGCATTATAAATAAACCCATACACATAATTCTTGAAAACATATAAGAATATTTCTGATGAAATTCTAAAGTGCATTTTCTCAAATGTCATTAATTTCTTATATTGTTTTCAGTTGTTTTGGTTGATATTTCTTATACCACTTTAAAAGAATACTCAAATACAGAATTTGCAAGATTCCATCAATGTAAAATTACACTACTACATAAGAAAAGAGATATATTTATTTAACTTCAACTCTAATATGAATTTATTTTTATCAAGCAGTGATAATTACTAAACCATACATTTTTTAAATTTAGGATTGATCTTCCACCAACACACAAGCCTACATCTTCCTATGAGAAAAGAAATATTTCTCATTCTCAGAAAGAAATAAACAATGCAGTAAGTTACTAATTAAAGGTCTCAGTTCCAAATCAAAGACTCAGTGTACTCCTACTGTATATAATATCCCATATTTGGAATTCTTATTTTCATTTGTAGGTAATAGTTGATGAAACATATACCTACTGTCAGTCTGTAGCTGATATAACTAAAATTTTAGATTGTGAAAGACTCACTTGGATTGTCTATTTGAAGAGTTGTTACTGAGGGATGTAATACGTTCATAAAGTCTGGTTAACACCATCTTTTCCCTTTTTCTCCTTCTCATATAATTACATAGCTAACACTGACTTTTAATATGTCAGAGGAACTCTATAAGTGAACCAACCACAGAAAGTCAGGATTGGAAAGAGTAGCTTTTAGGTGTACTAGATGAATTGCTTACCTAGAATAGCTGCAGCACCAGAAAAAGTGGCCACTAATGGGGTCACTTCTCTTCTACCAAAGAATCAGACTAGCAAAGGAAGGATAGAAGCCAGCAACACCAGATGTGCTTAATTCCCTCCCATCCCCATTGCTGAGGGAAAAACACTTCAACTCAAGCTATGCCAGGCATTTCATACTATAGACACTGTTAGCCAGACTAACTCCTGGGTCTCGAAGTGGAATGAAAGCCCACTCCATGGGTCTCTGAAGTACCCAGACATCTTTTTACAAAATCAGTTCTCCGAAAAGGATTGTGTGCAAGGGACAAGCTCGTTGGAGAAAGCCAGTTGGCTCAATGAAAACTGGAGCCCAAAGGAAAAGATACGGGAATTGCATACTTTTCCAGTAGGTAGGTTTGCTTCTAAAGCAAACACCTTTCCTATGTGTTAGCAACTGGCTCATTTGCAAAAAAAAATCATACTCATCAATAAGATAATTTTAGATGGCAAAATATGACCACAATTGAGGCTATATGGCAATACTTATCAAAAGTACACATAATATACTATATGTACTCATGGGTAGACCTATCCATGGATAAGCTGACTCCAGTTTTTAAGCAAATACTATGAAAAGTTGTTAAACCAATTCTAAACATTAAAATGTTCAAGGCTCAGTTTATCCACAGGTGAGCACAATGTTTTAGTAAAAAAGTTGAAGGTCAGCTTTTTGACAGATGAGCTTATATGTAAAAAGTAGGAGAATTTCCTGCCCTGAGTTATATATCTAAAAGATGAGATAGTAATATCAATTGTAAAGGACAGCTTTACTTGGAACAGTGTACATCCTGGAACAATATCTTTAATACCATCAAATAACATCTGCCTATCACAGATTCTTTGGAAGGACTTCATAGGTATCATCTCTAAAAACATCAAGCTAACTGGTCCATTATAATAACATGAACAGAATGCTGATTAAGGAAAAGCATTACACGATCAATTTCTACAAAAGGAAAGTGGATAAGGATAAAACCTGGCAATGACAGCTGGAAGAAAGGTTTGATTTTGGCTGCCAAAGAGCGAGCTGTTCAAATTAATGCAATCAAGGTCAGAATTGAAAAATGATTTAAAGTGCAGATTAATATCTGCACATATACTACACCAATACATTATGACATCCTAAATTCTTGGGAAGAACTCAATGGGAATGAAAGCTGGCTCCACCTAAAGAATTGGCAGCTATGATTCGACATTGTTGTATATGTATTACTAATAATAAACCATTTATTTTTTTAAAGGCTTTGATAAAGTTATAAATTAGTACTTTAATATTGGTAATTTTACATTTTTACAGTTGCGTTTACTAAAATCCAAACGGGCATGAAGAATAGTAGTGTGCAAAATATTTTAATCAAGCCATCAAATTTGAAATACCCAATTTTGAGTGCCAAGTATCCTTCTAATTGTATTCATTTATTGAACTTATTGATTCATAATTTTTTCTGCATTTTTTAAATTTTCATTTGTGTGTGAAAATGTTAAAAGACCTTTTACTAGCTTCTAATAACAAAAATATTTGTCAAGTTTATATAGCCACCCAGCTTATAAAAAGTAACTCTGGGCAGTGTACCTATTAAAACATGATATAAAACTATTAAAATAATTAAAACTATAAACAAATAGAAACAAAACCATGTGGGAAAATATTACACATAATACAACCAACGCATGGGCTCCTTAAATAAGAGGATTCCTGGGCTGGCTGGAAAAAAGCAAGTTTTAGGGGCTTTACTAGAAAGTCATGACAGAAGGCCATATTAGTGATCTTAGTAATATTAAAATAAGTTATAAATAAAAATTATAACTGATGGTAGGATTAGAAGTCTAACTGAGAGGGCCCTCCTAATCTCAATGGTGAGATTGGTCCCCCAATGAACATAAATGGAAAATAGGGCAGTGCACCATTTCAGTTTTCAAGACAAAGAGCTGTGTTGCTTTCGAAATATAACATTTTATTGCAACTTCTTTAAGCAAGATTTGCCTTTCTCAGGAACATGCATCTGTCACATGATCCCAGAGAAAATATGCATTTGATTTAAGGGGTTGCAGCCTGGTGCGATTCTTGTATCCTGGCAAGGTCTGAAACTTTTCTCTCTTTTTTTTTTTTTTTTGTCTTTGGAAACAAATTATTTAATGGACCTAATGAAGAATGCCTTTTGTGATGGCATTACTAAGAAAAATCAGGAAGTATTCAAATTGGGAGAGCACTCTTTAGCAAATGCAAGGATAGGTAGGCTTGGATAGAGAAAAAGTAGTTTCTTAGTTGCCATTAGTTGTCCTAAGCTTAAAAGCGACCTAATGCAATAATAGTATTATTGTGGTGCATGAACAAAATCTAAAAATAAAAGTGAAACATGGAAGGTCAAAGAAGATTGATTTATGATACCCATTTGTCCTTTTTTTCCCCTAGAAAATGATAAATTGCAGCCGATTTAGCTATGAAGATGAAAACACTGCATCCCAAGACAGAGATCAACAAATGTACCCAGCACTGAAAGAAACAAATTGCAAAGATTGGATCAATAAGAAACATCCAAATACAGGCAATGGAAGAATATATATCAATCCCAGGGAACATTATGTATGATTCAATCTCTTGTTGGTGAACTGATGTAGAAAGATATATTTGTCTAATCATAATTTTATATAATTTCTGATAATCTCTTCAAATTAGTGGTTTGCTTTTTTGTGAAAAAATATAAATGTTTATGTCATCAGCCATTCTCTATGCAGTTTAAGAAATGTCAATTTATTATCTATTAATTAGATGGGCATATAATAATGGTTAGAATCTTTTCTACCTATTTTTCTGAATTATTTCTACCTGAAATCTTCTTACCAGTACTTAAATTTTCCTCATTTCCCATAATAGTTGCCTATTCCATTTTGTAGTAAGGAAAGGCCACATGAGGTTATTTTGATATTAATTTAAGCCCTTATCACAGAGCTTTGCTTCAAGAAAAAAATGGTTTGTGCCTCATGCAGAATATTGATAAGTGCTGCCCTCGTCAAATATTAACTATACTTGTTCCCTTTTGCTAATGTCTAGGGTTGCCACTGGCTAACATAACTTGTCATATCTTCAAAAATACAGTACTATCCCTTAAACTATGGACTGAAACTTTTAGGATTAGTTGTAATACAAATGATTTTTAAAAGCTCATGTATTGCCCATGTTGGAAATAACAGTTGGAGATTAAAAGAGAAGTTTTAAGTGTTCCAGAAAGAATTATATATGCAAAATTTAAGGATAACGGGAATTAAAGCTGTTTTTGTTTATGCTTTCATTGAGCTGAGGGTGTGAAACAATTTCATTCAGCGTTTCTTCTGTGTTTTTCGCATGAACTATTCTGTGCTAATCCTAGCACAATAGTATATAATCTTATAGGCATAAAAGGCTCCCACATTCAGTGTTTACATCCCACTGCAAGATACATCAAACAGTTACTTTGCTTGCTTCTTCAATATAGTTTAAGATTAACTTCACCTAGTGTGCCTTTTCTTCTTTTAGATTGGCAAACAGAATGGGGAAGTTTTTTTCATGCTGATAGTAACAGGGTAATGAGAGAAATGTAGATCCAGACACCTACATTATGCTGCTTTTTTGTTGGTTTTCTTACTGTATGATGTTGTTTCATGGAGTTTATAGAAATGCAAATAGCTTTTGAATAGTTTTGAGTGTATTGCTAAAGATAACTATAGAATAAATTACAAGTAACTTTGAAATATAAATCAAGTACTAACATAGAGTATATGTAAGGATAACATAATTATATGAGTTTACTGGTATTCAGTGAAAAGGCATGAACAGTGCTATAGTATCTATTATGTTACCTATTTGCCTATATGATTTTACAGTACAAAATCTTAGGAAAAATGTATAGAAAAATATAGGGAGGTAAGAGAATTCAGAATATAATGTACATTATCAAAAAGTATTAATTTGACATATTAAAAAGGGAGTTATCTGGCATTCTGTTGAAATACTAAAAAGATGTTCATATTTTAGTAGCCTGAAAGTGTAATATTGATTCTGAATTAAACAAATCAAAAATATGAATTTGCATCTATATAATTTATTTAAAGACAAAATGCTTAGACGAGCTTTTTAATTCAACTATTCTAAATGGAGATGGTCAGAATGAATTGTTTCAGTATACATTCATTATACTCAAATGAGGGGAAAGTTGGAAATGTTTTGGGAAATGCTCCCAATCCACCAATGCATCTTTGATGTTTGTCTCTCTGGACCAGTTCAGTCCTCTACCTTTTTCTTGTTTCTATAGTCAAACAAGATGAGAATAATGAAGATTTACAATAACACCTAAAGCTGAATAGAGCTTATGATGTTCTTGTTACTACTAGGTAAATTGAGTAAGCAAGGCAATGGTATTTTGGATGCGAATGCAGATATCACAGCATTCAGTTCAAGACATGAGTTGCATGTGCACAAATTTCACATTGCCCAATACTTTAAAAAATGAATGACACAGCACTCTATTGTTATTTAATTCTTGATTTTATGTGCCAACTAGAGCTACTTTAATTTGCATTTCCTTTTTCATTTTGGAGCAGTTAGTTGAACCATATTATTATGGTTCAACATGTTGATCTTCAGTAACAACATAGTACAAATTTATTCACATGCTAATTCCTAAAGGTTCCTCTTCAGCTTTTATCTTAGCATATTTGATGCTAAGAAATCCTAATGTTCATTGTTCAAGAAGCTTCTAATAACTTGTAATCAGTATCTGTTTCGAAAGAAATGTAACCCCTGAGAAGCAAGGAGAAGATGCCAACGTCCTTAGAGGAAGCAGAGGAAAAAGTTCCCACTCTCCCCAAAAGAATGCAGCCCAGTGTGACCCAAATAAAGCAGTGTTATTTCAGACAGAGAAAAAGAGGATGTGAACAAAATGTGTGCTTTGGGAAATAAAAGGAGTCAAGTATTTTATTTATTTGTCAAATTTATATAGCCACCCAACTGACTCTGGGTGGCATACAGTATTGAGGAATGGCCGACTAGAGTTAGTTAGTTATTTAGCGCTTGGCATACAATGTCAGGGAAATCTACGTATGCTAGACACAATGCAGTCTTGATAGCCTAAAATGCTAGTTCATTCTGTTCAGCGTTTATGCACCTGTCCTTGGTGCACTGCGGGAGGTGAGCTAGCTTTACACCAGCTAACTAGCGATGCGCAGGTTGCTGTCTCTTCTGGGCTCCTCCACTGGTCTCGCCTTGCCTTATGTCACGATGCCTCTTGTCCGACCAGGTCCAGCACCAGTTTTTGCTCTCTGCAAATACAAACACAGTTTTTTTTTCCCATCAAAGTTGTACCCGTTTACCTACTTGCAATATTGCTTGCTTTCAAACTACTGGGTGGGGAGAAGCTAGAGATTGATCAGCAGGAGCTTATTCCATCTCACGGAGCTGGGTTCAAACCACCAGAATGTAGACCATTTCTGGCTGGCAGTTCCAGCATCGTTAAGCCTCTGTGCAACCATATCTCCCGGCTAACTAGAATCTTATACCTACTAGTATATAAGACAATGTTGTATCTAATGGCCTATCACAAATGTATACTTAAAGCTGAAATAATGGCTTTGAGTTTTAATTGTTTTTGAATAGATGTAATTCAATTTGGTGTGAACTAATATATATTAAGTTCACACCAGATTATGGAAACTAAATGCATTGCTGGTAGTAACAATCATTTAAAATGTATTTTATAACTGCTGCTATATTTTATAACTTTATAAGTTAAAATAATTATGAATACTTTGGGAATATTGGGTAATATGAAATTAACGTTGGATAATATGGAATGTTATGGATTTGAGTAATATGAAAAGAAAAGCTTGCACACATTTGTTAAGCGTAGTTGCTGTTCATTTTATGTCATATTTAAACAATCTTGAATTCTTTAGTAGATTTTGCAATTGGTAAATTCTATTAATTTGCTTTTTAAATTTGCATTTCAGTGGAACGTTTTTTTTAAAGTAAAGTTGGGGAAAAGGAACATGGGACTCCTGTCTGTCAGTAGGACACTTCCAAAAACTGAACGTTCATATTGATACGGTGGTAGAATCCAGCAAGTAGAAAGTTCAAAAATTGGCCAGATTCAGTTTTGGAAGAAAAAAACTCTGTCCTTAGTGAAGATGTTATTACTGGAATGTTGCTGACTGCTCCACTCTAAGGCCACCTAGACAAGTAATCCAGAATGAAGTATTTGCAGCCCACTTAGTGTTTCCCAGTGCACGCATACCCAGGTACAACCTGAGGGAAAAGCAGTAAAATGCAAAGACAAAAAACATTATTTCATTATACAGAAGAAAATACAAGCAGATCCCCTACTGCTACTGCTGATAAAGGATTGGAAAGAATTTCAAAAGCCACGCTTTTACTATTGTTCTTGTAGAATCTGCTCCCTTTTAAACACTTTTTTCCCCTACAATGTTTACTGCACTTTTTAAAATGATAAGCTTTCCTGGAGGTTTGTAGGTAAGTAGACTACATATAAATATTTAAAATAAATAATGCTCCCAATTGGGATGCAATTGTAAGAAACACTAAATGCCATTTTTCAGTATAGTTTGCGGCTATGGGGCATTGAATTAGAAGTCGAAGAATGCATCAACTAAACTGAAGCAGAAAAATTAAAAATTAAACTGAACTTAAAAATTGTGTATAAAAATAAGCAAAGCATTAAATATTGTTGAACTCAAGGGTATTATTACGCATCCTAGAAGGATTTGCAGAAAATTATATGCTCTATCCACCTGTTTTTACCAAATGAGTGGTGGCTGTCTGTCCTGTTAGATCTGGTAGGAGAGATGTATTCCAGATTCCATCCATGGGAGAGAATCCTCTGTTGCAAGCAAGGAAGAGGAGCTTTTCTGCTGTGCTGCCGACTGTCTGGAACATTATTCCCCAACCCCCCCTAATCAAACTTGACCCTATCCTGCTGGTCTTTTTACAAGGAACTCGGGGCCCTGAAAGTGTGCGTGAACCTTCGTTATGAGTGTTCCTGGCTGATTTATGCTATTTCTGTTGTTTTTAATTTTGGTTCTAGCATGTTTTAACTGTTAGATGCCCAGAGTCATGTACTGTATATGAGATGGACAGCCATATAAATTTAATTTCTTTTTTTTAAAAGCTACTAATAGCGCTGGTTAAAAACTAACATCACTGGATAAGCTTCTTCCATCATAACACTAAATAATTCTACAGAATTAAAAATACTTTTTCTGTTTATTTTAAGCTGATTATCATGTTGTCTTCCATTCCAATTGTGGCACATCTTGGAAAAACAATTGTGTTTCTGCTTTATTTTTATTTTTTGGATTCAGTATGTGACTAGCAATGAACAATGGTACAAGGAATTGGCATGAGTTGTAAATAGTTGTGTTTCTAACTGCAGCAAATGTTTCAGAACTGAGAATAATGATAAATGTTACAGATAATGCCAGAATAGACAGCCTATTAAGAAACCGTCTCAGCTATTAATGATTAAAATCTATATCACATCTTTTAACATGTGCATTTTATTTTCTTATAATTTGTATAGGTAGTTCTCAACTTACAATCACAATTGAGCCCAAACTTTGTGTTGCTAAACAAAACATTTGTTAAGCAAGTTTTGCCCCATTTTATGACCTTTCTTGCCACAATTGTTAAGTGAACCACTGCAGCTGTTAAGCTAGTAACATGGTTGTTAAATTAATCTGGCTTCCTCATTGACTTGGCTTGTCAGAAGGTCATAAAAGGTGATCACATGACCCCGGAACACTGCAACCATCATAAATATGAACCAGTTGCCAAGCGTCTGAATTTTGATCACATGATCACAGGGATGCTGCAATGGTTGTAAGTGTGAAAAACAGTCATAAGTCCCTTTTTTCAGTGCCCTTGTAATTTTGAACAGTCACTAAATGAACTGTTGTAAATTGAAGACTACCTGTATTAATATAATTATGATTAAACATAACCATTAAGATATGAATTAGTGTGATTCTCAGGACCAAAATACATTTTTGAAATTTAATTCTCCAAAATATATTACACCAGAAACATTTTTATACTGTATATCATTTTAGACAATCGTGAATTAATATTGGGAAGATGGGATATCTAATATAACAATGGTGGAAGAAGTCATGCAGTAGTACTAATATACCTGATGTTAGTAAAGCTCTTGTGTAGATACTCATTTCACAAGAGCAAACCCCTTATTTTGACCATTGAGCAGAATTCAGAACAAAGTTGAATTAGCAATGATCTCTTAGGATAATACTTATTTGCTCTATTTGCTATGTAATAATTCTATGTACAGTGGCTATAATAAACTATATTAGATAAAAGACTATGCTGACTGAACTCTGACTTTGGTCATACATAAATTGATTCCTTGATAAAGTAGTTTCTTAATGTTTCACTTAGCAGCTCTATTAGTAATCTTAAACATCCTTAACCGTTCCTAGCAACTTTAAGAAGAAAACTGTTGTTCTAATTCATCTTATTATTGTATAATTTGTCTTGTTCCCCTCTGCTCACTCCAAAACAATTTATCAAAGAACTAGAAATGTGCTGTAATTATTTAATAAAATTAAATAAAATAATTGTCATTTAAAAACATAAGCTCTTTATGAAGGCTAATTCCAAATCTGGAAATCCCATTTTGTTTTTATTGCAAATATACAAAATCTTTAACTTCCTATTTCCCTTCTAAACTGTTTGTCTGTAGTAACACAATAATCCGTAAGAATGTGTTCATTTACTCATCTGATGTCTATGCTATCCAACTTCAAAGATGGTATTTACAGTAAGAAAAATGCATCAGTCCTACATCAACAATTTCCAAATGAACAAATCAAAACCACTTAACAGTCCTTCTGAACGGCCTACAGGGATTGGGGGTTAGGGGCACTGTATTGCAGTCGTTGTGCTCCTTCCTTCTTTGTGGGGGGGAGATCACTCTGAATGTCACTCATGTACTATTTTCCCTCCTTTTAAATATTTACATTAACATGTTGGGAGAGGTCATCTAAAGGGGTTCAGTATTGTCAATATACT